ATCTGAAGCAAGTCAGAAGCATCTGAACCAAAGAATAATTTTGTATGAAGAGTTTTTCAAAGCATAGTTTCTACAGAAGATTCTGAAAGTACTAAAGCTGCCAGTACTGAAGATCTGTTTCAAATATGCTCTGATCTTAAACACGCTGAAAGCACACCTGCTGCAGAAGACTCTGATTCAGCAAAACTCTGATCATCATCAGAAGACTCTGACCCAATTAGACTCTGATACATTTGCTGAAAACTGAAGAAGAATTATTCAAAGTTTATATCCGTTGGAGTGAACCAAACGTCTCTTTCCTTATTTATGCTAGACACAAGAACACAGACAAAAAGGATTTTTCTGTGCTTTCTTCTTCTAGGAAAGGTCACTTGATGTGAAGACAAAAAGGCTCAGACCTTTTGGACACTCTTCTCAACGTGAAGCTCACCTTGGATCAGCTACCTATAAAAGCAAGACTTCACCAATTTCTTCAGTTGACGTTATTATTTGAAAAGAAATTAACATTCAAGCTCTCATACTATTTCATATTCTTTCTAGGAATTTATTTCTTTGTTCTAAATAGTTAAGTGAAAAATCACAGTTGTGATAAAGCTTTATATATAGAATCAATCTTAAACACTTGTATTGATTTTACATTTGATTGTAATCCTTAAGAAGATCCAGTTAGGATCAGTAGTTCTTTAGAAGACTTTGAACAGTTGTTCTAAGTGTTAACTATTGTAATCAGTTGATTTAATAGTGGATTAAGTCCTTGATTGAGAAAGGAAAATCACTCTAGGAAGGATGGACTGGAGTAGTTGAGTTCAACGAACCAGGATAAAAATACTTGAGTTTTTATTTCTAAGTTTTAATCTTCATACTTATTCAACCCCCCCTTCTAAGTATTATCTCACCTTCAAGGTTTACTTCAATCGTTTCCTTTCCCTTCTTTGGGATAAATAATGTTCAGTGGCGACTCTTCTGTTTGTTTCTACCGGTTATTTTTTCACAGTTGCGACAGAAGGTATATCATTAAATTCAGAATAACTAACCTCATTTTCTTCATCATCAGAATGGTGTGAATCCATTAATCCCATGTTTGCATACTCTTTATTTGAAGATGAGCTTATCTCATTGTCATCCCATGCCAAATATAGTTTCTTTGGCCTTTTGTCCTTTTTTCTATTGAATTTGTTCTTCTTTAAAAGTGTAGGGCATTAACTTTTGTCATGTGCTCTTTTTCCTTGTTCAAAATAACTAACCTTTATTTTTGAAATCAATACTTCTCTTTGACTAATTTCCTTTGTCCTTTCCTTTCTCAAGAGTTTTTCTAATTTCTTGATTAATATATATCATCTTCATTACTAAACAATGCCGCCAAAGACATTTCGGGGAGACTTTTCTTTTCCTATATTGTCGTCACACTTGGTTGCCATGCCCTTGTCAATGATATAAGGACTTTGAGATTCTAACCATCATTTGAAAATGTTTTTCCAATAGCCATCAAATGATTTGTTATAAAAATCAAGAATTGGTTCACCAAGCTGCATTCTAAACAATTTATATTATTGTGATAAAGTATTTTGTTTAAATCTTTTTATCTCTATCATGTGTTCATGTGTTACTTCTAACGTGTCCCAACTTTGACACCAACCTCTTTGCAAAAAATTCCAAACGCTAATTAGGAAAATCCAATTAGATTTGGTGGCTAATAGTCTCACACAAATAGAGAATTTAGAGTATAGAAAACCCTCAAACAAGGGTGTATTTATAAATCTAAAAATCTCATTTGGCAGTTCTTCCCATAAAAATCTAAAGTTCCTTATAAGTCACGTTCACCCTGAAAGCATCACCAACCATATCATCAATTAGGTTAAATTTTTCTTCATATTCCATATGGGGTTGACTGCTTGCAACCAGTGTAGTAGTAATCTCTGGTACATTATTCAATATTTCTTCTTCATTTGATTCCCAAATCTAATAATTTTTCATAAAAAATCGATTTTCTTTAAAATGATGTTTTACTCCATTTAGGTCATTAATTATACGTCTACAATGATGTTATACTTATAGAAGATGAATAATGGTGTTTCAGTTTGTTAGATGGAGAAGATGAAGAATGATGTTTCTTTTGTTTACTATGGCGCACAAAGTTTATGAGAAATAATGAAACATAATGAGACATAACATTCTAATGTAGGAATAACATATTATTTAGAGTTTATATCTCGTTTTTTAGAAATAACAGGGATATAAAATATGAGGTAAAAGATGGATTCAATTTAATTAAATAAAATATTAATTAACATTTCATATCAGTTTTCTAAAAACCCAAGAGATAAGATTAAATGTTTTGCTCTCTGACCATGAGATTTTTCTCTCGCTCGCCCATTCCAATCAAAAAGTTATTTTTAAAAACTAAATAAGTCCTAATTGATACCTAAAGTGCTCTCACTGTATTTAAGATCAATGTCCAATTTTCACTATCCGGTTTAATCCTCACACTTTCGCACTATCAACTCGAACCTTTATTTGTTTTCACTCTCGTGTAAAACCATTTGAATTAAAATTGAAAATTAAAATCAGAAGAGAAATTTATGAAAAGTTAACGTCAATTTTATTATCGATTCCCGCCAAAGCGAAAGTCCTCGCATACCAGACTCAAAGAGATTTAGCCGGACATGCTTTGAAGGTTAAACATAGAAATCATGGTAATTACATTTAAGGACAACATGATAAATAATTTAAAATGTGATAAACAAAAATATAAAGCAATGATATACGGACCTGAAAAAACTTGAATTAAATTTGGAACACTTCGAGTACAACGGACGAAAACAAAATAAACTTCAATAATTCCGACAAGATTTCGATCCAAGCGTACACTAAGAGAACTTAAGACTAATAATGTGAGAACCTCTCAATGTAAGAGATTATCACTTTGAATGTAAATATATGTTTAAAACTAAATTGAAAGAGCTTTCGCGCGTAAACTTGGATGCCTAAAAACTATGAAAACTAGTCTTATATAGAGGTATATTGTTGCTAACTGCCTTCCAATTCGTGAAGAAGTCATGGAGAAAAAGTAGGAAAGTGGGAAAGAATGAACCAAATTTGTTTTCACGCTTTGCTGATTCTGTGCGTCCATGACAAATTCCATAGACTTAAGTTGGATCTGACGTGACTGAGGTGTATAGCAAATGGTGGTGTCGAACGCCATTCACAACAAAACAACAAATTTTGCTAAAAACTTCATTTCTCTTGTTCTTTTCATTGTTTTCTTACAATATATATTTTTTAATATGGTCTGAATTTGTCTTAATCTTTGAGCTATTTTTATATGTATATACATTGTCAGGCAATTAAAGATAAATGACAGGTTGATTTATGCATTACGTGGAAAGTTTTTTTTTTTGCCATGGAAAATCATGTTTGGTTCAAGAGAATCATTGGCAAGAAAATCATACTTTTACTTTTTAATTAATAACTAGTTTCGTGAGGTAATAAAATTCCTTCCCTAATTAGTGACAAAATTTTGAGAATGAATATTTTATTTTGGCCAAATATTTATGACGGAATTATTTATTTTGTGACTTTTTTCCAACACAGTCTGTGGCGGAATAAAAATTTCCTCACTAATATTTGGCAACATGTAAATTTGATATGAATATTTAGTCGTCACAAAATATTAGGGGTGGCAAAATGGATGGATTGGATGGATATGGATTGAATTGTTAATGGATGGATCAAAGCAATCCATTAATCCATTAACAATCCACTAACTCTCTTAAAAAAAATCCAATCCAATCTATCCATTAAGAGATAAAATCCATCCAATCCATCCATTAACATATTTCTAATGGATGGATATCCATCCATCCAAAAAATTAATTTAAAAATTCTTAATTATTTTTTAAATTTCATAGAAACATAATTTAAATATTTTGAATTATTTTTTAAATTTCATAAAAAAAGACTTAAATTTTACAAAAAAAGTTAATATTCTTAATTATTTTTTAAATTTCATAAAAAAAAATTAAATTTTACAAAAAAATTCATATTCTGAATTATTTTTTAAATTTCATAAAAACAATTAATATTCTCAATTATTTTTTAAATTTCTTTAAAAAAATTAATATTCTTAATATTTTTTTAAATATTCTTAACCATTTTTTTAGTTATTCTTAATTGTAAAAAAAATTATTCTCTCTTCACATTCCAATTAAGAATATATATATATATATATATATATATATATATATATATATATATATATATATATATATATATATATATATATATATATATATATATATATATATATATATATATATATATATATATATATATATATATATATATATATATATATATATATATATATATATATATATATATATATATATATATATAAGCAAATCTTTTAAATAATTATTCTTAATTATTTTCAGTAAGACTTTATTATTTTTATAATATATACAAATCTTAAGTAATCATTCTTAATTATTTTTTGAATTCTTCTTAACTATTTAAGAAATTAGTGAAGTCATCCTAAAAATAATTAAGGATATATATATATATATATATATATATATATATATATATATATATATATATATATATATATATATATATATATATATATATATATATATATATATATATATATATATATATATATATATATATATATATATATATATATATATATATATATATATATATATATATATATATATATATATATATATATATATATATATATATATATATATATATATATATATATATATATATATAATTTTTGTTTAACACAAATTTAACAATCTTAATGAATTAGTGTTAATGAAGTCTATAGAAAATGAAATCAAATTTAACAATTGGGTGCTAGAGCAGCACTAATAATAATGCTAAGAGCACCAAGAAGAGTGACTAATATATGCTGCAAAATTAACAATCTCTCCAACAATCATTGTTATCATGCCCACCCACCAAATTTAACTCTCAAACAAGTAACCTCATGTTGTGGAAAAGAAGGTTGAAAGGTCCTCAACAAAATCGGGTCCATCAAAATCAAATGCAGCTACAAAAGAGAATCAAAGTAGAAAACAATTAAACATACATTAATTAAAAAAGAATATAAATGAAAAGAATACAAATGAAAATATTGAGATACTAACCTGGAGTTCCACAAAGCCAATCATGTGTACACAACAATGCTTCAACATTTTCGGGTAAAAGAGCGCTTCGATACTTATCAAGTATACGTCCACCTATACTAAATGCTGATTCTGATGCAACTGTAGTAATTGGAATGCTCAAAATATCACGTGCCAATATAGAAAGTTTAGGATATTTACCCTCATTTGCTTTCCAATATTGCATAACATCCAAATCAGCATATTGCTCATGATCAATTTTTTTTTCATTCAAATAAATTTCCAAATCAGACTCATCTTTTGATGGTCCACACAATTTACTTTCGTAACTCCCAAAATCCTGCAAGTCATTTGAGGGAATGTTCGGACTACCTCTAATTGACCTTTGTGAAGATGAAGTGCTTTCTTCATTTGAGGACTTGAGATATTCTTGAAAAAAAGCTTTCAACTTATCAAAAATCACCTTTGCAACTTGTACTCCCTCACCACCTAACAACCTCACATAACACCACTCAACAAACTGCAACTTATATCTAGGATCTAAGATGACAGCAAATGATAGCACAACACTATAAGAATTCCAATATTTATTAAATTTTTTCTTCATTCTTCTAGCCATGCAACATAATTGATTTTGTTTCTCAAACTCACTATGATCAACACATGCAACTTCCTTGATTTTCATATGAATTCGCCACACACCACTAAAATAGAGGTTGGCGGTTGGATAAGTGCTACCTGAAAATAACACAGTGATATCATAAAATGGCTTCAAAAAATCAGCTATGATTTTTACCTCATCCCATTCCTCGTTTGATAAGCAACAATCAAAATAGGGATCAATATCGCTTAGGAGGGTAAAGGCTTCTCGTTGACCTATAGTAGTCTCAAGCATCAGATAAGTGGAATTCCATCTAGTAGGTAAGTCTTGACGAACTTGCTTAGAAGTCACATTTGAAAGTTGCTCTAAACAAGATGCAAATTTTATCTTTCGAGCTTCTGAGCCTCTTACATATTTCACACACAACCTAATTTTATCCAAAGATCCATCTATCACCTTTAAACCATCATGAACAATTAAGTTTAAGATGTGTGCTCCACATCTAACATGAAAATAAGTACCGTCAGCTATCAATCCTAATCCTGATAATAAATGTTTCTTCAATATATTCACCATAACATCATTGTTAGATGCGTTGTCTAAAGTAATTGTGAATATTTTTTTCTCAATACCCCACTCCTTTAGCAAATTTATTAACTTCTCAGCCAAATTAAAACCGGTATGAGGTGGTGGACAATGAGTGAAGGATACAACTTTTTTCTCTAATTCCCAATTCCTATTAACAAAATGTGCAGTCAAAACCATATATTGATCTGTATTTATTGCAGACCATAGATCGGATGTTAAACAAATTTTTCCTGGAATCGACTGCAAATAGGATTTTAAGTTTTCCTTTTCTTTTCTAAACACCTTCAGAACATCAGACTTTGCAGTATTTCTAGTAATTGACTTAACATCGGGGTGTAAGAAACAAAGTAAGTCAATTATCCCTTCATGTTCAACAAAAGTAAAAGGATAATTGTGTTTGACAATTACCTTAGAAATCTTTTCCCTATACTTTTCTTGATCCAGTGGCAGATAAGAAGATCCATTCCCTCTTCCAACACATTTCACTGCATGTTTTATCAAATTTGAAGTGCCACCACCCTCCCTAGCCATATAAATTTTATTACAACTTTTGCATTTGGCCTTTGGGAGTCCTTTATCGTCCACAAACTTTTCAAAAAATTCCCAAGCCGTAGAAGTTTTTGTTCTTTTTAAACTAAGGACTGAACTTTCATCAACTTCATCCTGAATTTGAATTACGGGTTCATCGCCATCGGTAGACATATTTCCTATAATTTGACAATAATTGAAGGTGAGTACAAAGGAAATACAAACTGAATTATCCAATTAAAAGCCACTAATAACATTAAGACTTGAAACCATAAAAACACTTCAATAATTTATTATGCATCAACTAGCTTTATTTCATATAGATTAATGACATTACATGTCAAAAAGAGAGAAATTGTGTCAAGTAACTAATACTGCACATTAATATCAGAAATCAAATTATTTACTCGCTAAACAATGTTGTGAGCTCACTGCATTTTCTTTTTTACTAATACTACAAGGTATACAGCAAATCAGCAAATCAAATAAACTTAGTGCAAATCAGCACATATTTTTTCATAGTTTGAAACCACCCTCCACATATAGTCCCACCAAATCAAATAAACTTAGTGCAACCTAATATTCTACCTCACTTGTCCTTTTCCCTTTTTCCTCAAAAATCCACATTAGTATTCCTATACTATATACTATCTTAGTGTCATTTGACTCATTTTGCTCATAAACATTGGCCCTTTCTCTTCTTTGTCACCTCCACTTACTCCTTAACTCTTCTTTATCCTTTATACAACACCCTCTTTCAATATCACCTTAAGAAACACTACAACAATGTTGTCTCTCAAAATGACTGAGATGTGTGTCGCTACTGCGAAAATCGGCGCCGGCTGAACAGAAGAGTCGCCACCGTGCGTTATTTATCCCACGGGAGGGAAAGGAAACGCTCAGAGTAAACCTCGCACAACACGGGAAAGGTATGGTCATCGCAACCAAAACCTGGGTTCGGGAGTCGGTTACGCAAGGGGAAGGTATTAGCACCCCTCACGTCCGTCGTACTCGACGGGATCCACGCTTGTTTTCGGGTATGGATTGTTATTCTATCTAAACTACAGGTCAAGGGTTAAAAAAGAAAATAAAATGAAAATAAAAATGACTCGGCAAAGTATCGCACTTTATGCCTACGTATTCCCGTCTGGCACGAGAAATCAGAGTCAACGTAGTTCGCCTACCTACGGGAAAGGAGGGGAAGGTTGCTCGCTAGGATATCGCATCCTATGCCTACGTACTTCCACACAGCATGGAAGATCAGAGCAAACGTAGTTCGGGCCACGTACGACACAAGTCTGTTTTGATTGATTTTATTCCTTCTGAAAAAGGTTTTTCTGATTAACAGTCCAAGAGGACAAAGATGACGTCTTGATGAGTTCACGTTCTTTTACGGAAGAAGTGTCTTTTATTGTGTTTGAAATCTTTATGGTGTTTTTCTGTTTGTTTTGAGAAAGAAAGAGACAGAACTCTAACCTACGGTTGCGAAGGGAAACAAACTAACCTAATGTTATCATGCATGGGTTAAGACCTAGTGTCTATCATGCTCCTCTCTTGCACAGAGAAAAACAGAGATCCTAAGGGATAGGCAGAAACAGAAACAATATCAGATATATACAGTAAAACAGTAAAATGCATGGATGCAGCAATACAAGCGAGGCAAGGGAGTCCCACTCAACCTCGAACCTAGAAAACAATAGGCGAAAGTGAACAGGCTTCACTTTCAACCCAGCAGGGTAAACAGCAAACAATACAGTTCAGAAAACCAATCAATACATCAGCAAATGAAATACAGCAAAAAAACAAACAGCTTCAGCAGCTCTGAATCAACAACTGGCTTCAAGCAACCTCCAATCAGCTACAGGCTTCAACAAGCATCAATCTCCATCTTCATGGCCTTCAGACAAGGGCTTTGATCATCTGTCTTCCATCTGCAATGGCTTTTCTTCAAGTTCAAACCTCCAGGATGAGGGATCAGTCACAAGAGTGAATTGAGTGTTAAGCAGTCAGCTGACTACCAAAGGTGGTGAACAGACTGCTTCTAACACAAGAGACATTTTCTCTCAAGAGTTCTATCTCATAGACACCATCACCAAGCCTTCCAAAGGAAGGGGGTGAGTATCTTAGAGAGACTCTGAATCACAGAGAAGAATGGATGCAGACAAGGCAATCCATGTTTGAGAAATAATCATTCTAACCTAGAGCTCTGCCTAGCTCCTAAACCCTAGTCTCCTCAGCAACTGCTAGCAAGAAACTCCTCCTCAACTCTGACAGTTGATCTTCAGCATTTGACTCTTCAATGGCTTCATCTCCACAAATCTTCAGCTTCCCCAGGGCCCCAGACAAACCCAATACCCATACAAACAATCAATAAACCCCAGAGGGCACACCACACCAAACATCAGATATACAGACAGTAATAATATCAGTAGGGGAATCCTAACTTTTCTCTAAGGGATCTAATAACTACCCATAGCCCCTATAGTCCCATAACTAATCTATTCAAACCCTAAGTCCTAAGGGAGAAAATTGAACTTCCTAAGTTGTCACCTAAAACCCTAGTTTTGTTCATGATATTCAAGCATTTATTAATCACCTAAAATTAACTCCTAAAAATGGGAACTAAAATATTTCCACAAGCTTAACATCTCATCTAAACAATATGAAAAGAATGATCAAAAAATATCAAAGCATGTGAGAGAACAAAAATCATAAAAATAATGCATGAAATGTAACTATTTATTATGACATTTATTTAGAAAATATGAAAAAAATATGAAATAAAACTAAAAAATGAAATTTTATTTTCCTATAATATTCTAGACATTTTAATGAAAATATGGTAAAAAGAATGGATGAAAAAGCATTTTTTATGAATTATTTATGAATTTATGAAAATGGTAAAAATTAAAAGGAATTAAAAAATGAAATGAATTAAAAATAAGAGAGAGGGGTATGAATATCAATTCGCCCCAGTTCAAAATCACAATGGGCCAACAGCAGGGGGGTGCGCTTAGCATTCTGGTTAAGGCCCAGCTTCATTCAGAAATAAAAGAAATAGAAGAAAATGCCAGGGGGTGAAAATAACAACGAAAACGCGTTGAATATGATTTGGGCTCACAACCTGGGGGTGGGGATAGCATCATCCACTCAGGCCCGCCCGTTTCAATTAATGAAACGGTGCGTTTAGGGCCAGCACATCTCCCTCCAATTCTGAAATTAAACAAGAGCCCTTGGATCGCCTGGGAAGTCAAAAGTCCAACCACACATACACGGCCACGATTATCTCTTCTTCCTCATTCAACCTGAAACCTAGGGTTTCTGCCATGCGAGCTCATGCACGAGCTACCTTACACCAAACTGTTCTCATCCTACACGCCATGAATCCTCATGCTGTAAACATGAAATCTGCTCCAAATCTCTCCCTCTACAATCCTAGGGCATCAATTCACTTTGAAATTCACCACAACAACAAACACGATTGGATCAACATTCGGTCTCCATTGAAATGCACTGATATGCATCATCACCAATCTTCCCCAAACTTAGCCTAAATTGAACTACAACTAATGGAGGTTAATATATGCTATCAAGCCACAATTATAACACACTAATCTAAGAGATATGAACACTAACAGTTTATGGCACCTGTCACTAACCATCACCAAATCTCTCCAAATTCATCTAACTTAATCTCCTAACCACCTAGATCAATTCTACACTAACAAAATCATGCCTAACTAACTGGATCAAGCAGTTTGAATGAAAACTTACCTTGTGCAAAATCTTGCAAACAGCTATGGAGATTGATGATTTGAGGCTTTGGAGACTTGGATCTTGATCAATCCTTGATGAACTTGATTCTGTATGCAAGCTTTGGATGAGATTTGGCCAGAATTATGCTATCCACTTGCAACTTCAATCTTGATGCTCTTGAAAAAAAGTGCTCGAAAATGGATGATAACCAC